TAACAGTCTGGATGCTATGTTACTTTACTGGTAATACAACACCCGGATTAGAGACAATATAGAGAGGTTAACTTTTTACATTGTCCCGAGTCTATTGATAGATATAAATTTCTGCTAAATAGTTGGTAAGTTTCTTTCGCTTGTCTTTCTTGTCAGCTTCAATCGTAATGTAGATCAAAAAAATTTGGATAATTCAAAAGTGCTTGTAATAAGGTTATTTTAATGAAGAATTTTTCCATCTTTTTTAAATAATAAAATTTGGATTAAAATAAATTCGATTTAATGAATAACAATTTATATTTTTAATGAAAAATGCTTAATAAATCCACCAGCTTTTTACATTAAAAATATTTTTAAATATAGCATTGTGAATGCAAAATTAATCAAATATAATAGTTACTCTCATGTCAATAGATAAAAGTAAAGCAAACAATATTAGAGAACAATGAAATAAAGACAAAGACCGCATTATTAGACCTATTGATTTCTAGACTGGTCTGACTTTCTATTACACTTAACATTGAATAATGATTTCAGTTAATAATGCTAAATAGCTTTCAAGTTACTATTTTAAGCAACGAACATATTTTTTTTTATATTATATTGATCAAATATAAAGAAAATGTTAAAAAAAGTTTATTTGCAGAATATGAATTTATTGAAATTCATGTGTCTTAAAAATTACTACCGTTACAAAACGCAGATATGTTTTTAGGGGTGGATTTACAATATTAAAGTGACTACAAATTGTAAGAGCCCTTACATAATACGTGTGGCACGATGACATATCTCTAGAAAGACGGAGCAATCTCTAAGTAATATAATATCTTGCTTGCAAATGACGTGGTATGATAATAAAATAGGATTTATGAAGCGTTCTGTGGTTTCGTATAAATTTTTGCAGTGCTTTGTGACACCACAATGTTTCGCAACTAGGAATTTATGCTGAATCCGTATTCTGATCAAAAAAGAGTTTCATATCAAAAACCCACCAAAACGAGTTTTGGCGAACATCGTAGCCGTTTCGTTTGTACGTCAGTTTCAAGTGTCGCCATCTCTGAGGTCTCTGGTTCGATTGCCGGTCGGGTCAATGTAGAAAATTGACTTTTCTAAGTCGTCTCAGAACCGGGTGTTGTGGTACTTTCACTGCCTCAGATAATCCATAATAGTTTTAGCTACTCATCTTGGAATCTAAAGCTGTAAAGCTCGTGTACAGAGTGTAATTAAACTATTTCTCTGGTCGGAAATCAAATCCGGACTTTTTGAAAAATAAATCTTTGGTACATCACTTCTACTTAGATACCGATTGTGTAGTTCTTAAGCAGTTAATGTTACTATCAAACATGATGTTTAAGATGAAACTAGTAACGAGAGAGACAATTTTTCGATAGAAAAAAAATGGTCGTCATTTTGGTACTTAAATAAATTACAAGATATGATGTGATTAAAAACAATGCAATTTATTCATTTTGGATCATGTTTCATAGTAGCATTAAATACTTAAGACCTACGTAGATATTACAATATCTACGTAGAAATAACAATAATAGTAAAAAATAAAAGTATTTTTTTAAACATCTGGGATCGATTTCCAAATTGAGAACTAGTTTTTTTAACGTGCTAAATGTTTTTTTTCTCTTCAATAAAATTGAAGACATGGTTCCTAAAAATAGATCTTTGTATTTCCCGTACTGACTCTTTATAATGTTACAACATATAGGGAAAAGAAAAGCCCACTCTGACATCATTTTGTCATACTGTCTGAAGACGTTAGACGTTTACTGGGTAAGCTGTTGGATGGCGTTACTGTGTCAATGCGATGTAGGTCATGTTAATATATATTTAAACAACATATAAGTTGGTATGACTACATTCTTTTTACATTTATAAAATAAAAAACAAAAAAATGTTGGTAGAAACAATAAAATGTTTTTTTTTTATATCACCAGGATTATTGCCGATTTTACAAACATATTTGTCCGTTGTTCATCAAACTATCATATTTTCAACGTATTTCTATAGTTTCTTCTTTATGAGTAAACTTTAACTTTTACTCAACAAGTATCACAATTATCTTTAGAAAGGGCTTCTATTTTCTAAATTCTTATCAAAATTTCCATCAATGTGATCATAATAATAATAATAATCCTCCCACCCCTCGAATCGTCGAAGGGTCGGGAAGAGTAGATTATAAATATAAAAAAAAAAAATAATTCATTTATTGCAATTTTATCAAGCCGTGTAAAGACTCAATGGACATCAAATCAACGCAGTAAACGATCAGTATTTGCTTCAATTCAATCAAGTAGGCTTGACAAGTCGACTTAATCGTCTCCGGGACCAATTAATCTATGTAATTCACGACTTATGGCAAAACATCTTCTAAAAATTACTTTGTATTAAAATATATGACCTCTAAAACGGCTTTAATAAGTAATTTAACGAATTGTTTATAATGAAACCATAAAATAATAATAAATATATATGATGTTTGTAAGAAAAGCAAAAGAAGGACATAAACTCGAATAAAAAGCATGAAATTTAACGCTTGGTACCTTGAGCATTAACGTATACCTACTTATTTGAATTCTGATAAATAACAATGACAATTTAGCAATTTAAAAAGTTCTTATACCTAATAAAAAGTTTTGTAGTCTTTTTGTGAAAACAGCTTATAGTACAGACAAATCCAAGGAGTATGATAGTTCGCACAGCACACTGGTTACCGTTGCGTTGACGGCACGTCACGGGTCGCTTGACTCGAGGAAGTGTCCATCTGGGATTGCACCTGGCTGTTCTGAACGGTGTTTTGTTGGTTAAAATGAGGGTATATAAATTCTCTCAGCTAAACCTCAATTATAAGAATGGCAAAGTTTATTTTTAGTTTACATTGTGCACATTTTTAATCAGTTTTGGTAATTCTTGTCACTCTTCTATTTATTGCCTTGTTAGTTTACTTACATTTCTATCATTCATTTTCGCATTATGACCTCATTTTTATTTGCTGTCTGTTTCTGTAATGGTAAAGGCAAATCATCCCTATTATCCTCATTCGAGCTGTCAGAATACATTTTAAAACGAAACTTCGTTTGTCTTATCTAAATTTAATAAATTCTAGAATTAAATAAAAATGAAAAAGGTTTTTATTAACCTTGTAAAGTTTTTAAACCGCATCCTATTTTTAAAACTTTATAAGTGAATTAACACAATTTGCCAAGTTAAAGATACATAGACTATGTAAATTATTTTGTATAGACTATGTAAATGTTTGATGGGAAATCGTAACCGTTTTAAAATTGGGAAAGAGTAATTAATTAATTAATTGTCGAAGTAACAGACTAAAACAATGAGAACATAATAAAATCCCAAGTAACTACACCCTTATATTATGGAAATCTGAGACGATATAGAAAATTTCCTATATTGGCCTGACTGAGTAGCGAACCTAGCTCCTCATAGATGGCAAACTACAGACTCTTGAAACCGGCACACGAGCCCCTCGACCACGAAGTTCGTCGATAATATGCATGATTAGATAGTTTACAAGGCTTCAGAGGTTTTTGAAGTGGGACATGCGAAGTGCTAACATTGTTGAATAGTAAAATTATGTGTTTAAGAGAAATGAATAATGATTACTATACAAAGTGGGAAACGATCACAATACCAGTCAATGGCACATAAATATGCAATTGCATACCAAGAGAAATGTATTTTCTACAATACTATGTTTGACCTAATAGTACTACGATGGCATTCAACGGTATCAATAATAAGACCTATATATCATCGATAGATGGCACTGTTTAATGTTCTGAATATGGTGTTCTGAATTTTAGACAAATTATTGGACTTCTTCAGATAATTTAATGTGATAGCAATAGGGCTTGGTAAGAATTAGCGACTAAAGCACATATTTCAGCAAATTTTACTTACTGTCCTTACTTTTACAACGTCCGATTAGGAATTGGCTGAAATTTTAAATGTACAGTAGCCTAATAGATTACCACAAAGTCACAAATTTCAAATATCGATTTTGAAATTATTTCTTAATGCGTCAAAGTTAAACTTTGACGCATTAAGAAATATTTTTAATAAACGCCATTAAGATAATTATAACTTAGTATAGTAATTTTCAATTTGAGGTCTCCGAATAAAATAAAAAAAATAGGGAGAAAGAAGCAGCCCTTGCTAAGTTTGTTGCTGGTTATCTTAGTATAAACTTGCCCGCCGTAAATTTGCGAACCGATGGCTAGAGTTTCGATTTTCACAATCCATGAAATGATTTGATTTTAAACTTTGGGATTAAATAATGTAGATAATTTGACGTTCTATGTAGCCCAGTCAGATCTCAACAGCTTCATCTTCATGGATCAACAAACGTGTATATTTTAAAGACATTAAAATAGTTAAAAGCATAAATTGAATTTTTCGAAAGAACCTCTCTGAATCCACTATAAATATAATCCACGATAAACATAATTATTAATTTTATGTGTAACAAGAACTATTTTGAATGGAATTTCTAACAACTACACATCGTTTACGTTATAATAAAAATGTATACATTTATAAAATCATTAAAAGATGTTTTTCACAGAATCATAAGGTTCATGACCCAAATAAATTTTAATTGGCCAACAGTTTTCATTCAACATCAAACATCCTAGTACTGACGGGAGCTATCTTGATCGTAAATAAACCTACGGAACGACACTAACGTCCAAAATTTAATGGCCAATTTAAAACATTTACAACGTGGTATAAAAGATCTTATTGTTACACATATATCATCAGGTCTGACCAGCGTCGAAAGTATTTATCGAATAGAATTCACGTGTAAGTTTAGATGCCGAAGAAACCTGTCTTGAGCCTTGCGAACTTGCAAAATCAACAAAAACGTCATCTAAATGTCCCACCGAAAATAATACAATGACTCATTCTTAATTCACGGTGAGAAGATAGCTTTTCTATAGTTTCGCGAATTAGACAAAATCGCTCACCTCACTTTATGATCTGTGCAATATTTTGACAGCTCCAAGCACAATAAACAAAGAAAACAAAAGCCGCACTAGTATCCAATGTCGCGTGTAAAACCTATTTGGTGGTTTATCAATTTAGAACGTCACTCAAAACTGTCACTGTATTCCACTTCGAAATTCGAATTTCGTAATTTGGGGACCGATGTGTGCGCAATGGATTCGTTGTTGTCGACTCGAACGGTGAGCGGCAACGTGCGCGCGCGTCGGTGATCGCGCGAAGCACTGACTTGAGACGACGGCCATTTTCTGTGCGTGGGGGGAAGGCATTGAAATAGGAAATAAGATGGAAAAGAAGGCTGCATCGGGTGACATAGTTGCGCGAAAATCCCGGATCTTCAGCGCTTAACTAACTAAGGAACAAATAAGTACATCAGTAATACCAATTATGGTATGAAGAGAATTTTCAGAATTTGAAAATATTGTATTTTCTTGTCATATATAATTGTATTATGACAAATAACAGTGCAGTGCAAACGCAACAAATAACGCAATGTTAATCTTACAGTACCGGTTGAAAATGTGTGAGAATTGTTTAATTCAAAAATGTGTTAATGGATGGTTACAAATTTTAACTGGAGAGTGTACAACATGAGATTTTACATGATTTTTGTTCTATCCTTGTTTATTTGAAGGCCCAATCTTTTGATCTTAGATATTCAAGCATGTTGTTTAGGTCTTACATGATCTCAGTCGTTAGGAATACATCATCGACAAAGCAACGCATGAGATCTACTCGCCATTAATATTGCTGCCGTATCCTTTGCAATCCAGAAGCTTGAAAATATCCTCCAAGGTAGCGGTGAATAGCTTTGGACGGAGAGATAACGTCTCCCTGCCTTACGCCTCGCTGCAATTTGATAGAATTATAGTTCTAGTTTTGTAATTGCACCGACATAGCATTCTTATACAGACACTTTAGCACCTCGATGTACCTGTAGTCCACTTGGCACCTTTGGCCAGACTACATCACTGCTCATGTCTCGATCGAATCAAAGGCTTTCTCGTAGTTCGTGAACACCAAGCGCACTGGCTGGTTATACTCTTCGGAGCGTACGAATATGGTCCATGGTAGGTACTACTAGCCTTTTCGTTACCCAGCTTGTTCGAGAGGTTGGAAGTCGTCAAGCCTACGAGCGAGTCGATTCGTAATGAAGAACAGAACAACAGAACAGAATAGAACCCCTTTAAACATGGCTCAGAAGCGAGATCGGCCTATAATACTTTAAGAGTATCTTTTCATCCTTTATGAAAAACAGGACGACCCGATTCCCACCCTATGCTTTCAGGGTTTTGCCGTCGGAAATAAAGGAATTGAAGAGCGCCTGGAACTTTAAGTATCGGCTTACCGTCCGCTCTCAGAATCTCATTCCGTTCAGGTGATTCCGTTGTCACCCGCCGCCTTATTGTTTGTCAGTTAAGAGCCATACTAATTATATCTATACAGGCTTAAGTCCGAAATATATTTTCTTACGTTTTATATAACTTGATCATATACTCTATGTATAATCTATGCTTAAGAAAAAAAAATAAGTGGTTCCTAACCTTTTTACGTATGATTGTTACCCCTTTATAGTTCCAAGTACCCAAAAAGTAAAATCGGGACTAAAAATCCACTGTTCTTAAAAAAAAAATTGCATTTTTTTCTCATATAATCACACTTTCAAAAGCGCTAGTACATTACTCTAAATTTTTTTTATTTATCATTTTGTTATATCTGATTGAATAGGCAATAGATAAGAAGTTATTAAAAAGAGGAATGATTAGATTGTTTGTTTATTTGTGATTGTTTGCATTGAATAACTTTTGAGTAGGTGGCCCAACTTTCAAACATCTTTCAGCTATGGGAAGCTACATATGCCGGTGAAATATGCCTACGTAAGTTTATGCGGATGAAGTCGCAGGTAAAAGCTACTTTGTTATATAAACAAACTATTGTTTTGATAGCGATAATAAAATTATGCAACCACTTAGGGAATAATTTTATCCAATAAACGAAAGTAGCCTAAGTTACTTCTTATTACATAAGCTATCTGCCAGTGAAAATCCCGTCAAAATCGGCCCAGCCTTTTCAGAGACTAGTCGGAACCAAGAGACAGATAAAAATGTTATATTGGTATAGGTACCGTATATATGTGTCACCCGAAAATAACGATAACCGCAAATTAATAATTTCCTAGAAATTTTAAATTTTTCGTAGGATTCTAAACGAAAGATAAATTGTATTATTTTACGTCCACAATTTCGCATAAACTTAGCGAACTTACGTGTAAAATAAGCAAGCAATAACCAAACGTCGTGTGCGCTCTTATTGCTTGAATAAGTCACGTGTTACTTCTACTTCCCTTCCATCGCTAATGTTCGCCTTCGTAATCCAGTAATCCAGTAATAAAGTAATCCAGTAATAAAGTAATCCAGTAATAAAGTAATCCAGTATTAACTAGTTTCAAAGTAAATGTACTATTTGGTGGGTAATCGAAATTGATAATTGCAAGCTCTACTCACTACACTTGTGTTAAAGAAGGACAAGGCATTGCAACCACAAATTATAATTTGGTAAGTCTGCTGTTTGTACCAAGTACAGACTGGGTACAATCAATGCTTACTTGTGTCCCTAGGGACACAAGCATTTCCACTGTATACATCGACTAATAAAAAAGCGCAGTGTATTATTTGCCGTATTTCAATGAAGTGTAAAATTAAAAGCTCTTCAGTGATTGGTTGAACCGTTTAGAATCTTAATATGAATAGATATCTGTTAGTTTATAAATTTACCACGAGACATTGCAAATTCATAAATTTGCGGAAATATGGGCGTAAATTAGTACAATGTATCTCTTGTATAGATATTTCTACTATTTAAAAAAAAAAATTAAAATTTGCTGATCTTGTCATTTTCCGGTGACATAAACATTTAGTAAAAATAATTTGCTAAATATTACTAACAGACTCTCCAATTGTATTTATTTGTAGGTATAGTTTAAAAATTACACTTTCAGTGTTTTATTTTAGAACTATTAATTTTATGGTCTACTACTTAATATCTTTCACTAGCTTAAGATTTTGAACTTTGGGCTACTTTGTATACGTCTTTGGTTTCCAAGAGGACGATCAGTGTTCACACTTCACCTAGTGAGGAAGGTTATAATACAATAGGGAATTTTCGACACTATTGGAATTAAGCCGCATGTTGTGATAAATCCTGTCAGATAATAATCTAATATAGTTTATTTCTTAGAATCTATAGATAAAATATGCTTAGCTTAAGTAAAATAACGCAAACAAAATGCAACATTTTTAGGAATATTAAAAAAGCACGAATAAATTAACTTCAATTTCCCTTCTGTAACACTATTTAGTTAATTTACTTACTTCGTAAATAAATAGTAGATAGACAAGTTATGTCGCCTTGATATATTTACCCGCATGTGACGTCGCAATACCATTTGATAAAGAAGCGTTTTTTGGGCTATTTTGGTTATTAAAACTTTAACAATTATTTTTATCGATTTTACAAAAGAACAAATTCCCATGAAATATATTGACAGTGTGTTTATAATGTATCAAATACCTTATTGGGATGTTGCCTACAAGAGAAAATACATATTTCTGTTATTTGTTCAGAAAATATTAGGTCCTTACATATGAAATTGGTATTTGGTATGGGAGGAAAAAAAAGTCGAATATTTTTTAATGTAATATATTTATTAAATCAAAGTATAAACCATTATTATCTATTCACTTTTTCCATCTCATAGGTATTGATCATTGATCCTCTTACTAAAAAAAACATTCGGACGGGAATCAATAAAATTTTTAAGGCGATTTGCACTGCCCCATCGAAGTTAAATTTTTTCCAAATTTCGAAAAAAAAAATGGTAATCTGTTAGAGCAAGGTCCGGGGAGTACGGTGGATGTCTTAAACATTCTTATTGAAGTTCTTCTAATTTGGTAGCCGTCCGTTGTGCAGTGTGTGGTCTAGCGTTGTCGTGTAGTAGCAGTGGCGAAGAGCGATTGACCAGCCTCGGTTGTTTAACCGCTAGTTTTTCCAGCATGGTTTGCAATTGCTGACAATAGATGTCTGCCGTAATCATCTGGCCAGATTTGAGAAAAATGAACGACACCGGCACTAGTCCTAGTAGTCTAGTGTTTATGATTGGGCTCGAAAGAATTCACTCACGTTAAATGCAAGCAAGACGAAATATATGTTGCTAGGTACAAAAAATCAAATTCGTAAGGTGGGGCTACAAAATCCGATAGGCGTCACCACAGCACCTAAGGGGGCCAACTGAAAAGCGACGCTGCAGTTAACTGCAGCACATGTCGAGTTGGCATCTTTTAGACACCACATCGGATGCACTCTATAAGTTAATAGTAATTTATTAATGTCTTTTGCAAAATTGCATGTGTGTGTTTAATAAATGATTTTTCTTTCTTTCTTTCTAGTCCACCAAACGCTTACAAGTAACTTTTTTGGGGTAAATTTTCGCTGGGCGCAGGATTTGGCTGGTATGCCAGGGTCCAACCATTGCGATGAGCACTTCTGATTATCGTAGAGAGTCCACTTTTCATCAAAGGTAGTGATTCGATTTAAAAACCCTTCATTATTGTGCCGGTTAAATAATGTAACGCAGCAATCGAAGCGCGTTTGCGCTTTGCTTCACTCAATTCGTGAGGTACTCACCTTTCAAGCTTTTTAATCTTTCCAATTTGCTTCAAGTGGATTAAAACATTTTTATCACTAACACCACAGCTTGCAGCTAACTCAGACGTGGTTTGTGATGGATCCGCTACCACGATAGCCTTCAATTCTTTTTTTATTAACTTGGGTCTCCGGCCGTCCACGGGGCTTGTTCTACAGGTCGAAATTTCCAGAACGAAAACGTTGGAACCAAAAACGCTCTGTGTTTTCTTTCGCGACACAACCGTCATACACATAATTAACCCTTTGAGCCGTTTCCGCAGCACTGGTAACACGGTGGAACTCGTACACGTTAATTACACGATATTTCAAGTTTCCAATTTTATACTGGGTGACGTAAATAGGACAAACAGGAAGAAAAGGAATTGAAAGTTAAATTTAGGAAAAAATCAAAGGATACAGAACGCTGCCATATGGTCTTGCAGATTCAACCCAGCACCTGGAATAAAGCGACAAAACAATACTACATCGGAATGGAGTGAGTGAGAGTCGCGGACCAATCGGATAGATGCAGCCACTGCGGCG